GGATGGATGGATGGATGGATGGATGGATGGATGGATGGATGGATGGATGGATGGATGGATGGATGGATGGATGGATGGATGGATGGATGGATGTGTAACCTTTAGCCACTGGGGGTGCTAGACTTCCAGGTTTATGGCCTGGACACACCAGACATGAGCCTAATCAAATCAAATGGGGTTGTGACATTAAGAGCTCATTGAAAAATGCATGTGGCTGGTCAGACTGCACGCTATTCTCTGTAATTGTGCTTGTGTAGCTCCAACCGAGGTACAACCCTAATCTATTTTGGTCAGACATACGCAGCTCAGACTGCTAAAAAGCAGAGCTCTGGGTCAGATGACTCGTTCAATGAGGGATGCGACCCTCTCAAGTTGCATGGAGCATCGATATGCTCCAAATATTGACCTGAAAAATAATTTAATTATATGTCACATTAGGCTCAAATGTGGCCTGAATCTGCTCTGTTAATAAAATCTTAATTTTTATTTTTATTTTTTTCATAAAAAGCTGCATACATACATTGTTTGCATGCATGCATCTTCAAACAGGACAGGTGCATGTACAGTGTCTAATCAGTGTAACTGTTTGAACATCTTTAATAAACATGAAGATTTGTTCCTATATTTGAAGAATTCTCCATATATTTGCATCATTTAACAATGTTCTGACTCCATTTGTTTTGTTTTTAAAGCACCAAGAGGGAGGAGAGGCTGGAAGACTTTCTATGCCATCCTCAAAGGACTAATTCTCTATCTCCAAAAAGTAAGGTTCCTACATTAAATAAACACACTGTATGGAATGTATACGTTTCCTTGTTTCAGGTATCTAATTTAAAACTCATGATGAGAACCATCGCTCCAGCCTCTGCTTGATATATATTATTCATCAATAAAAGACAGCTGACTGCTTCTCCTCAAGCTTTCTGTTAGACTTTCATTCCAGTTACTGATTGATGTCAGAAGGTTAGATGGGGTTTCTGTTAGGAAATGAAAAGAGAAAATGAATCAGGAACAACAAAAACACATTGTACAATAGTCACTTTTTGATCAGTGCTACTTATTTAAATCTTATGCTATAACGGAACCTAAAGCTGAGATCTGGCATCAAGGAAGGGCCCCATACGGAGGAAACAGTCTGGCTCCAGTCACAGGCGACTGCTGTTCCCATTAGGAAAGTAAAACTGCACCTGCTTTAGCTTTGGTGTCCAGAAACATAAACTGTTACACAATGTCACTGAAGATAAATGTTAAATATTAGAAGTCAAACAAAACAGATTAAAAGTTTAAAGTGACATATTCCAAAGCAGGTTTTGTCAAATATGTATTATTCAAAATGCAATCCAGACGTTGTGACTGTGTTAAACTAAAGTAGGTGTGGGATTTGAAACTAATTGCGCACAACTAGTATTAATTACTGCCTTATATTCAAATCTTTATTTTTTTTTAATCTTTTTTAAAAATAATCTTTTTGATGCTATTTATATATAATTTTACATGCATTTTTTTTATGTTTCCTTCATAATGGTGACCTGCTTGGAAAAAAAATGAGATAATAATCATTTATTGAATTTTATTTCTAATTAATGCACTAAACCAAAACATTCATATTTTCATTTCAAATATACCCCTGGGATATTTACTTGTACATCTATATGTACAAAATAAAAAGTTTAATTTTAAAAGCTTAATAGATTAATTTTTTCTTTCTATTTCCAGGTTTAGGTTAATTTTATTCAACCTCTGCATATAATACAACTTATTTTTGTACAATAGGCCATCTGAGTACTCCTGTCCATAAAAATGGAAATTAAAATAATGATAAAATGATATGAAAATGAAAACACAATCAAGAAAGACATCTACTCTGCTTGGAAATTTAAAGCACATAAAGCTGAAAACTACTTTAAATACATTTAAAAGCCTTTCTTTTGTATATATTCCATATATTATACAGTTCTGCTTGAAATTTTACATGCCCTACCATTAAAGGGAAGGATAAATTCACACTAGTCTTTCAAATAACACAAAACTGAAAACAAAGTAATAAATAAAAAATTTACTAAATTATAATTTAGTCGAATAAAATATGAATTTTGAATTTGTGTTTTTTGAAAAAATAGACAAATTAAAGTACCTTGCTCAGGAGCAGTGAACCAGCATACCCATCAACAGGTGCAAAAGTCTGAACATTTCCTGAACATTACAGAAAACACCTGATTTCAATAAATTTTACTGGCAGCTTATTTTTTTCTGTTTACAACGGTTTGTAAACTTTTAAGTACTACTGAATATTCAGAGTTCCACGTGTGGCCCTGGAGCTATAGGTCGCAAATCCCTGTGCTATTAAAGCAAAGTCATACACTTATGACTATATATATTTTCAGAAAATACAATTAAATAAAAGAATCAAACTTTTTTGATTTGAATGTATTTATGTCATTTTAATCTCTTCCACAGGTATAAAATAAAGGCATTGAGATTTTTGTGCAAATCTGTAACCTTTGTTTATTCCTCGTAAACCAGATTAACTCTTTTACACAAGCTACATCTCTAAACCAAGGTTTATGAAACATAATTTCATTAAATTAAACATTAAATAATTTGTCAAATGAAACATTTGACAAATTATTTTTGTTCAGTTGTTTTTGTTCAGTTCCAGCCATCACTTTTGCTCTTGACTTGATAGAGAAATCCCTCTAAATGGTTGGAAAATTAATTCATGCTGAACATTTCAATCTTAGGGGGAGTACCGACCTGATAAGCAGCTCTCGGATGAAGACCTGAAAAATGCTGTGTCTATTCATCACTCTCTAGCAATGAAGGCGTCAGACTACAGCAAGAGACCCAACGTCTTCTACCTGCGGACTGCTGACTGGAGAGTATATCTCTTCCAGGCACCGTAAGTCGTATTATGCATTGTTTGTTTTGGTCTGTGAGCTGAGCTGAAATGGACACATACGTCATAAATCATCACATTAAAACAACATTAAGGACAGATGGAAGGATTTCTCTGCAGTTTCTGATCATGCAAACCCAAACTACTTGGTTTCTCTTACTGACCTATGATGTTTAAAGTAATTTTGTAACATGCTCTTTAGTTGCTGTAAGAGAAAATCATTTAAGCGTTTCCGGTCCTGCAATCTAAAGTTTTAACATATTGAGTTTGTGAAACTCTATGGGGTCTTTAGCTGGAACTGAGTGCTTTAAGAGGGAAATTTTTGGCTAAAAACAATGGAGGAATATCTGGGGAAGCACTTTATGCTCTGCTGATAAGGTGGAGAATCTGTAATGCTGTGGGCCTCTTTCTCTTTCCTCACATCTTCCACATTTGGTCCTCTTTAAAGACTGGAATTTGTTTTCCCCTTTAGATGTCATCAGACTAAGCTAATAAATCATAATAGATCAAAAATGAAATGCTTTATTGTACAAAGCACTAAAAAGGTACACTGCTTTTGTTCAAATCAGAACAAACTGGGGTATAGTGACTCCTAATGACCTAAAAAAAAATAATATTAATTCTTTCATAAACCAAAGCAGCAGAAATCAAACAAATGAAGCACCAACGATTCAGTCTATTTGCTGGATTAATTTACGTGGGCAGGGTGTGAGCTTCACTCAGCTCCTGAAGCGAATGTTGTTGCAGCCCCTAGCATCATGACCTCTTTGAAATATGAACATTTTGAATCAAAATAGCCCCTTCAATGTATTAAAAATGAGTCACCACTAGAACATTTATCACAGTAATGACTCAGAACATATGGCGTAATCAATCCACAGATTGTTCCCTGGGCTCTAAATCAACCATTTTTCATGATCCCAGGAACTGAATCCCATAAAAAATAGCTGTGAGGAGACCTGAAGAGAGAGGAGATTAAGGAGTTTGGATGATTCAGGTAGATTTTGTGATAAAGAATGGTCTTACATTCCTCTCTCTGCAGGCTCGTAGTTTGCAAAACATTTTAGCAGAGGGATTACTGTTGTGCTAATGGTGAAAGGATGTTGTTGAATGTAGCTACAACAAATATGAAACCATCACTGCAGTGATAATTGTGTTAAAAGCAAAGATTTCTCTTAGTTGCATATTTTTCCTTTTGAATGAAAGTGCAAGAATCTATTTTAATGCTATTTGAAGATTTCTAATTATCAGTCATTGAGTATTTGTCTTGTATACATTTGATGACCAAATGTAAGATTTTCATGTTTTGGAGCAAATTGTTTTGAAGTAAACACTTGTTATCAGATATCTGCTTATATCTGATAAGTGCCTACAGCATCATTTCTGTCAATTTAGAGGAGTTTTTCCTTTGTCATATCTTATTTAAGCTCCCAAATGGCTAAGTCAATATCTGAATCATGGAACTGACAGTGATAGACATATCTAATCATCTGACAAGTTATTTTTTTCACCATTTGGATTCACACAGTCCAACAGCTTCTTCCCAGATGGTTTTGTGTGTAATAAACCATCTGGTCTTTCAGTTTTTAGCCAAGTATCATCATGTTATCCCAGACTCCCTCATGATCCATGAAAGGGGGGATGGGAAGTTAAGCAATCTGTTGTAGGATGTTTGTGTTGCTGCTGTTGAATGGAGAACATGAAACTGTTAGAAATATGGAAACTTGAGCATTTTCCAAATAATAAGGCTGAGAACTGTATAATGGATGACCGCTTGGAAAATGAAGCGCAGACAAACACAAGTTTGATGTATCAGCTTCAGTAACCGATTTTCTTTAGGTCCCTTCAAAGGAACCTTTCTAGACTTAATACTTGGTCAAAGAAGCAATGCGATGAGTTTATGTCATTAACTTATTTTTTCAAGAGGTTTTGTCCGAATTCCAGAAAACCGACATCTTGTCTTTAAAATAAACCTTTATTTAGCCAATTTAGAAATTAAGAAAGCTTCGAAATAATTGGTAGTTAGTCATGTCTTAAAGAAGGATTTTTGAATGTGAACCCTTTTTCCATTCAATTGAAAAACAACATTTTTCCGAAAATTGTAAAATTGTGTTCTGATAACAGCCACACAGAGTTACATCAACATGGGGTGCACATACAAACTCAGGTCAGCTAGCCTCATGCATGCTGATCGCATTGTCCAGTCAGCATAAACCAGACATCTCAGTCAGATTACAATTTAATTCCAGTCCTGATTAATCCAGTCAGAATATCCCAACTGATAATGTTTAAATGGCATTTTCAATCCAATCACTTAAGTCCATCTTAAATGTGACATTTTAAATTGACAGTTTTTAAAAAATTTAAGACAAAACTCGAAGAATGAAGTCTTAACTGCCTAACACCCTTGGATTAAGACATTAAAATCATTCAAGAGGAAGTTACCTGGCCGAGTCGGAAAGATTTTACCTATAAATGTTTCCGTTTGCAGGGTATGTTGCTTATGTCTACTTTTGTGTAAGTTTGGGATTTGCAGCTATTCTAGCAAAGGCTTTGGATCTGTTAATTGTGTCACCTTTAAGCTTGCTTGTTTACTATCGTTTTCAACATGGTTCCAGATCCAAAAGTAGCTATTGCAAATATGTTTAGCGACCTTGTCCAAAACAGACTACTTCCATGTGACCTTCTGGGCGGTTCACAGCTATTTTTACCAAGATTTTAACTTAAGGAAGGCTCGGAGGTTAAGGGTCAAAACTGTGCAATTTGTTTGATTGATTCTAGTTTTGAAACTGGAATTATTAGGACTCACTTGGAATCGTGCCCATCTTGTACAACTTATTTTTTGCAGTTAATAAGAAAATTAAAAACTCTTAATAAATTGACAACTGGATGGATGCACATAATCTGAGGACCCAATGATTGAGCTAACAGAAGTAGTAACCGTTCAAAGAGTTAATTTAAAAAATAAACTGGTGTTGCAGAAAGAGGGATTGACTGGAATAACTGTGCAGAGGAGAACAGGGTTAGTGACCGAGAACAACTCAGTGATGTTGATGGTGCATTGAATGAAAACCACCAGCCTTTTCAGAAGCTAACAGATTTGTCTGGTACTTATGGTTGAGCCTAGTGGCTCCATTTGGATGGTTTGGACCACTGAATGAGTGATCCAGATCTTGAGGTTAATAGACAGAGCTAAAGCCTGGCACACACTGTACGATTTGTTCAATTGTTGCATGCAGTTACAGCTTATACTATATGACGAAACCGCAGGGTTTAAACGTTCACAGCTCACAATGTATGTTCTCACACTGTGTGGCCCAATGCTCTGATGTGATATAACTGCTCACACTGTATGTCTAAAAACCACGTGGGACTCAGCCCCGGAGGGAGATGGCGCTACTCGGACTCGTCTATCCGGAAGCCAAACGAGTAGAAGACGAATATGAAGCTCACTAAAGTGAAACACAATGCCTTGGCAATTTGTGCTATTTTGTGTGCTGAAAGCCCTGAAAAGAAAAGGCAATTACGTATTTGGACAAAGACATCCCTGAGAAAATGTGGCTACTACGGTCTTTCAATTTTACAGAAAGAACTCCGTTTCACTCACACCACCACCATGCTTCTGTGTTTTCGTCTGAGAGGAAGAATAAGAATCTTTGTTTGTGCATGCACACTGAGAAATTTGCCCAAGACCACCTTACGACGGCCGACTGAATTTCAAACATGTTTGATTTCTCCCAACCTCACGATTCCTATTCGGGAGGTGGTCGCGAGAGGCTGATCGCCCTCACGTTGAGGCTGAAAGTCAGCCTGATCAAAAACTTCTTGCATGACTGGAGAATTGGCCCGGAAAGGGCAAAAAAAATCATATAGTATATGCTCGGCTTAAGGTTAGTTGGCAAGTCGTAGTCACTCCGAAGGTCATGCACAGAGAAGCAGTGCACAGCGCAGAGGTTTCCAGAGGCAGGAGACAGATTCGAGGTTCAGGCTTGGGTCATATACAGTTCACTGAGCAATCCAGGCAGGGGCTCCTCAGTTGTGAGACAAGGCAGTCTGATGTCCAGAGATCAGAAGCCAACAGTGTTGTCCAAAAAGGGCAAGACAAGAGGAAACAGTAACAAGACCGGTCAAGATCAGGAAGTCAAAACAAGGATAGCTGGAAGGTTACTCAAATGAATGACTTTCAATAATCTGGCAGTTATCCATTGGGAGAGGCAGTAATATTTTGTGCCCCTCCCAGGTGCAGCATCTCCCAGTAATTTGAATTGCCACAGGTGTAACTGCTCAGACCTGATTGCCAGTGTAGCAGAGAGAGCTGGTAGTAACATAAAGGGAAGGCACACAGCATCGATGTTTTGCATTCTATGGCCCCTTTAAAAGGCCCCATATAAGTACAGACCATTTCAGGTTCTCAGATTATTGTCGAACACACATGCTAATATGCTGTGTGGTGAAGGTGGAGGTGTACTCAGCAGGATTCAGGAAGTAACATGTCATTGGCTACATGTTTAAGCCCCAGGGGGAAAGGGTCTTTGCTCCAGTTTGCAGCCTGCATTTGTCCCAGATAACTGAACTCTTCTCTACAACTCTCTCTTTGTATCTCCATCTCAATCGTTTCTCCTTTTCTCTCGGGATTGTGAAGCAAGGCAGTCTGCTTCCAGCTGATATTCTTCACAAGACCTAAATGGGTCTGTTTGTGTTAAACAGAGCCTGTTCTCTCATGAGCTAATTGGCTCTAAAATCACCTCTTTGTCAACGGCGCCTCTGCATTTTCTGATCATTTATAATCCCTTTGATGCCGTAGCCCAGCCAAGTGCTGATGTTGTTATAAAATATCACAGAGTGGAAGCAGTTTGTTCAAACTAATGTGCTTGCAAGTATTTAGTTTTAATGAGTGCTGTGTGATTCATCCATGACAGGAACGCTGAGCAGATGCAGTCTTGGATCACGCGTATAAACACAGTGGCCGCCATGTTTTCATCTCCTCCCTTCCCAGCAGCTATCGGATCCCAGAAGAAGTTCAGCCGACCGCTGCTGCCAGGAACTATGTCAAAACATTCTGAGGTACCTTTCACTTTACTTAAAGAAGCAAAAGTAAAAGCTTAAATATATTCCACCACACAGCTATGCTGGTGCAGGCGTGGATTTTTCATAAAATACTGAATATTTTGAGATCTTGTGCTTTAAAATTCATTAGTTTTATAACTAGAGATACACCGATCTAATACCTGGATCAGATATCCAGATGTTGTAAAGTGCCTTAAGATGACATGTGTTGTGAATTTGGCGCTATATAAATAAACTGAATTGAATTGAATTGAATCAGATATCAGTGATTTAATATCAGATATCGGAGATCCAATCCGGTGCACATTACATGGAACTGTTATTTCTTTATTTTTGCTGTTAATTTGGTGATAAATAATATAAAGTTAATTTATACATGTGTTATTTTGTTACCCTTTTAAGCAATGTTTATGTCAAGGCTAAAGCTTTAACTCACATGACAAGATATATGGTCATTCAACAGTTGAATGGGATTGGTATCGGCTATTACATTCAGCCCAGATATATCAGATTTGATTTAAAAAAAAAAAAAAAACTGAATCGTGCATTTCTTTTTATAACCGTTTTAAATGTTTCATGTATGTAAATATGCTTTTAAAACATGGTTGGATGCTACAGAGAATCTAAAGGCCAAGAACACTCTTCCTTTTGTAAAGGTTTCCACTTTTATGATGATGTCCTGGCTTCTACATTTCCAACTAAATCCTATTGAAGAAGGATATGCACAGTTTCTATAGTTTTTTTCATTATTATTCATGAGCAGATGTATACCTTTGTCTTTACCCTCTAAAAGTTCCTTGTTTTGACCCTGTGCTTTTAGGAGGAACAGATCAGATCTCATGAAGCCCGGTTTAGAGCCATCTCCACTGAGCTCGCCGAGCTGCGCTCTTTTCCTCCTGACCGTAAAGTTAAAGGCCGGGAGCTGGAAGAGTACCGCTTGCGAGACGAGTATCTGGACTTTGAGGTAGTAAAAGTTCTGTGAAATCATAAACTGTTTGTTATTTTTCAATATTATGTAACAGAGCAACATCATATATTCCATAATTGTAAAAATATTATTTTTTCTGAAACCTAGAAAAAATGCAAAAAGTGTTATTTTTAGAATTTGGACTAATTTTACCATCTAGAGAGTCGGTGGAAATGTGCAGGGATAGATCTGTTCAGTCTGTTTCTATAACTGTCATGAAAAGGGACAGATGGACCCAGTATTCAAGGTGAGACAGCCAGTAGGAAAGTTCAAAATGTTTATTAAAATAAAAAGATTGATGTAAGAGAAACGGGCTGCTGTGGATCTGCGGCTCGCAGCGACTGCAGTAGGGAGCACCGCTCAATCACTGACAATCTGGTTTAACAGTTCAGTCCATCCTCAGGATAAGCCAATGCACTGCCAACGAGATGCAGCAACCCCAATGAGCAGGCAGGACTCCGATCCAGGACAGGGATTCAGTTTAGACTGGAATCCAGGTGTCTGCAGTCCGGTCAGGGGTTCCGATCCACTCAGGAACGGACAGATCGGGGTTCCACGAATCCAACAGAGCGTAAAGGCAGGTCCAGAGTCCCGTACATCGAGCAATCAGCTCAGGCAGAAACGCACCCCGGAGGTCAAATTCAGAGTCCCGTGCGTCGAGTAATCATCTCAGACAGAAACGCATCTCGGAGGACAAATTCAGAGTCCCGTGCGTAGAGCAATCAGCTCAGACAAAAACCCACAGACACAGACAGGCAGAATCTAGCAGGAATCCAAAGGTGGTTCAGGCGAACAGATCAGACAGGGACAGTGAGGGTCAGTGGATGAGAGGGAACAGAATCAGGAGATCAGAATCACAAAGGAAATGCTGAAACGCTCTCACCACTGGCTAGGGAATAAACTCGCCTGAAGACACTGGCTCCAGAATAATCTCCTCACTGGAACGGGGACATGAACCTTGGACTAACTAAAACTTAACTAAAAAAGAACAAAAACCCATCTAACAGAGAAAAAACAAACAATAATCTGGCCCCATTAGCTGGAACTGAGCCCAATATGATGGAGAAACAGCAGGTGGATGAGATGAGTGATAATTAGAAAACTGGGCAGAGTAGGGCAGGTGAGTGAATTGAACAATTAAGGTGAGCTATCAGGGAAGATAATGACAATAACAAATTTAAGTTTAGGTTAAAAATATCTTGAAAACATGAAGGTTTACCCTTTTTGGGGCATCTTTCTTTGATTTATACAGTCAATTTGAACTCTCAGGATAGAGTTTGTCCTGTCAGCATGATTTACTATTTTCATAATTTCCTTTTCTGACCTAATCTCATATTACCCTTTGTAATAGGTATACATTTATTTATCTCATACTTGCTTGTAGAGGGGTGTTCATGAGGTACTTAAAAAAAAATCAACAGTAATAATCATAACGTTAAAGCAAACAGAGCTATGATATAAGTGTTTTAATTTTTTTATTTTGTATTAAGTACAAAAAACGATGAGCTTGTGCAGTTTGTACTAGGGCTGCCTTAGAGCAAGAAGGTTCAGGGTTCGATTCCCAGCTAAGGGTCTTTCTGCATGGAGTTTCCGTGTTCTCCCTGTGCATGCATGGGTTTCTCTGGGTACTTCGGCTTCCTTCCACAGTCCAGAAACATGACTGTTAGGTTCATTGGCATCTCTAAATTGTCCTTGGGTGTGAGTCTGTGCGTGGTTGTATGTCTTTGTGTTTCCCTGAGACAGACTAGTGATTAAGCCCCATCGAAATAGATCACCTTCTTCTACATTTCCTGATACGTCAACAGGCTTATAGAGTAAAGTTTTTGGTTATAATCCTACAAATTTGTGAACATTATGTAGGTATGGATGCTTTTAAGGAGTCTGTAGATATGATAGATTAGAAAAGTCTGTTCGGATTGTCAGAGAAACGTCTAATCACTTAAAGTTCTCATCTTTCATACTGTCACAGAAAACACGATATGGGACATACATCATGTTGCTGCGGGCCAAGATCCGAAGTCATGAGGATGATCTATCGGTGTTTGAGTCCCTGCTCCTTGAGGACAGCAGCCTGCAGAGGGCGCACTCCAGCCCTACGCTGCAGGACAGCAGCCAAGCCAGTCAGGCCAGCAGCAGCAGGGGAAATAGCAGCAAAGCCAGTGCCTGCAGCAGCAAACCTCGACAGGAAGGCCAGAGACACAGCTACAGACAAGCTGTCAAGAAGTGAAGCCCGACAAGGGGCGCCGGGAGCGGCATGTTGTCGTACCACCAGCGGCAGGCTGTCTCCCAGCGAAGGCTTTTAATTTCAGATCCAGGAGGGTTTTGGAGCTCTGCTTGAAGGGGGAGCAGGGGTGAGGGTCTTACTCCACACCCGTCCACAACCATGACGCCCCACACGACGCCCCAGTCTTCTCGTGTTACCAAGGAGGTACAGATCCAGCAGGGAGGATGGTGCAGGAGGTGGGGGGGAACAGCTGTGAGGTCAGCGATGTGCAGAGAGGAGGTGTCTTTGAGAACCAATGCTGGATGCAGCAGCATCAGACAGAACAGTTCCTTAAAAAGGCTGCTTCCAGGTCAAATGGGACACCACAGGGACCTACATCCAGCATCCTTTCTTTTCTCCCCCTTTACTTCTTTCAGGGCACCTCTTCAGCTACATCCTCACAAGGTTTTTTTCTTAAATCTTTCACTCTGTTAGGGACCAAACATGTTTACGCACTTTTTCGTCACATGATTGATTTTAGTCGAACTGACTCCGCCACTCTGACAAGATGCGCTGTAATCGACTTTTATAACACCACCAAGTTTTTGGAGCCTCTACATTCCAGCTCCTTCTTTCTGCTAATGTCACATCCTCTCAGTGTCGTTCACATTCCACACAAGAGTTGAGAATCACAGCTTTCAGCTCCAATAAGGGCGGTGTGAGGTTATTTTGGTGTTGCTACAGCGTGCACCATGACTAGATGACTCGGTTGCTGCTTCTCTCTGGCCAGATAGAGCCAAATCTGCAGAAGTTCCCAGTGCTTCTGCCAAGCAGCTAAAAAACTGCATCTCTTTTTTTTGCTCTACTTGAACAATTTTTTTTCCTGTTTTCTTTTGCTTCTTGCCGTGATGTGCTTCTGTTCTCTTTCTTGGGCAAATGTTTTTATTTTTCTTTATCCTGCTGTGATATGCATGCCTGCATCCAGCACAGCTTGTCTTAGGGCTTTTACTACTTAGACTAGAGACAAAAAAAGAAACAAGAGCGTCCAAATTTCTCTCTGGGGTTGTTGATTCACTCCTGCCTGTGCTATACCTAACTGGTGTAACCTCCTATGTATACCGCTCATTTTTAAGCCGACACTCACCTGGCAGGCTCCGAATGTTGATATTTTTAAAGTATTTGAAAAAACCCCACCCCTTTGTGCGAGCATATGATCTAAAACTATAAAGAAAACATGCTATCCAGAATGTGTTGTACAGTATATAATGCACCTCCTTATATTGTAGGATATATGAAAGTATATTTGCAATATATCCAGTACATTATTGTGATGATGCATTAGAAGCAAACACAGAAAACGTCTTACATGTCCATAAAGGGCTGAATGATAACCACGTGATTTTGTTAGCTGTTTTTTTTATTATTATTATTGTGATTAGAAAAGATTTAGAAAGGGTATTCTTGCCAGGTTACACTAATTTAATCCGTAACATTGATAGGATATTCTATGCCCACAACTATTAGCATGATTCTATTTGGACTGGGGTTGAGGATGATGTGAAAGATGCATAAAAGGAGAAAATAATATCTAAAAAAAATGAAAGAAAATGAGTAACCTAAAGACGTTTTGGAATATGTTGAGGAAAGCGTATTTTTATTTTTTATTTTTTTGTGGTAGCCATAGACACCTCATAGCATAACATTGTATCTCAATAACGTAAAATATCATCAAAAAGTTTGTTTTTTTTTCCCAGTAATTTAATTTACAATGTAAAAAACATATGGATATATTATAGACAGAGTGGTAAATATCAATTTTGTTTGTTCTGGCCTACGGCTAATGACTGTACCGTTGATTTTCTTTTTTCCATTTTAATGGAAAGTTAAGTGGAAGGATAAAGTGTGTTAGAAATCGTTTTAGGTTTTTGCTTCTTTTTTTCCACAGAAATACCAGATATTCAAACTGTAAGTCCATGTTTTGTGAGGTATTTATGGTCAGGACTCCTTTTGCATAAATTTATTGCATCAAACTAGTGACATGAAGGGGATCAGCCTTTGGCGCTACTGAGGCCGATTGTTGGTACTTCTGTGTCTGATCTATCTCCTGTCAGTCATTCATTGACTGTGTGAGGTTTATGTAAGGGCAGCTTCCTGACCAATCAGAAAAAGTGATACATACCATGATCATTAAAGCAGGATTTTGGTACTTTTGGGAGTGAGGACTGGAAAAAGAAATCAGCATCTCCACAGAGGACAACATAAAGCACCTGCTAAAAGATGGCACATCACATTGGACCTAAAGAAACTTTGATTCATCTCCTCCCTGATCTTATTTCAAAGTGTTTGCATTTATTGAAAAAGGTTTTTTTTGCATTTATTGAAGACGTATCTAGAAAATAGAGAAGATTGTCCATGTATGGAATGTCTGTGTATGGTGGTACGTAAAACACTGAATTCCTTTTGCATTATTTTCTTCCAATATTTATCCTTCCACTCAACTTTCTATTGATAAGTTAAGACAAATGAGTATTTGCTGATTCAACCTTCTGATTTGTCTTCCCCATGATTTATAGGCAACAATGTGACATGTCTGTGCTAAAAATTCTTTATTTCCTTGTCTGAACATTTTTTTATTATTAGCTGTCGGCCATAATCCTCACAATTACCAGAAGAAAACAGGCATTAGATGTATCACTCTGTGTGTAATGAATCTATGCAATATGAGTTTGACTTTTTCCTAATTGAGTTCCCAAAATAAGTAAACTTTTTGATAATATTCACACTTACTGAGATACAGCTATAGTTGATGCACAGCCATTTTCTACTCAGGCTTAGGAGCAGCTGCAGTGCCAGCATCCAACCAGCAGGGAGAGCTGTCAGAATTTGCTTGTAATTGCTCTTTCAGCCATAATCACACCTGCTGCACCTGCAGTAAATATGCACAGCACCTCCCACTCACCTGGGGAAGGGGATGGGGGCCGCAGGGCTACACAGCACACACACACACCCCATTTCTGTTAACCATTTGCAGTGCATGCTGGGACTGTGCTGGATGCTCCAAGGCGCATCGAGACACTTTGGTTTGTTTCGTCCAGCGTTCATCCAGCATCAGCTTCCATAAAGCATGAACTATAAAGATTTGTACAGTTTCTAAAAATGAATGATTCAGTATTCAGGCTTCAGCTCTGCACAGTGTTAATGTGTCTGTCAAATTTCTGTTGCAGCTTTTTATCCTGTTGTCTTTAGGCAACAGTTCAGACATTTCTGTTATAATTTTAAGGGGCTTATATCTTCTTTGTCTTAAATGTCTTCTTTTGTTTTGAGGCTGATTGCCAGAGAAGATAAGAGGGTGGCTGTTTTTCCCTATTGCTTGGTGTTTTGATTGCCACACTTATTAATCTTTGGGGAAATGTGATAGAAAAGGTATGTAAATAATGACTATTTTTTAGCCATTTGATATCATATTTCATTTGACACTCAAATAGTTTGAAAATGTTTTTTTGTTTTTGTTTTTTTCGAATATGGTTACAAAAAAGTATGTTTTAGTATTTTACTCTGCAGCTATGGCCAAACTTTTAAAAATGTTTTAAAATTACTACAGCTTAATTTTCAATGCTTTTTTGACTTTTGACTTTACTTATTTGACATTTTACCCCCCACTTCTACTCTTTCAGTTTAAACGGTTTCAATACAAGATGCACTAAAAAAAAGCAGAGCATTCTTATTTACATTTTTATGTGCTAGTAATCTTTAGAGGCACTTAAAGGCAAAACAAAAGAGCAATGTTGCTAAACTCGAAAAAACCAAACAATGTAACATAAAAACAACCTCAGTGTTACACAAATCCTAATATTTTCATAGTTTTATGAAGATTATTTCTATTGAGAACCAATTATTTTTCCTGCTTTTGCTGCATCGGTTTATGTTCAACAACTGATTTAGTTTTTTGAGTTTTGCTTGAATCTTTTCTAATTACTGATGAAACACACAATGCTCTACAGTGCCTTGCCAGAGTATTAATGCCCCCTTGAATTTTTTTCATATTTTGACGCATTACAACCACAAACTTCAATGTATTTTATTGAGATTTTATGTGATAAACCAACACAAAGAGTGTATTTATTATCTTTAGGCAAAACCCAGAATTCATATTTCTTTTAGAAGTCACTGATTAGGAAATAGAGCCCCATTGTGCTCCCAATGTCCTTCATTGGCGCTAGGGAGCTATGAGGAATCCCACAATCCTTTGTGCAACTTGATGTTGTGACATTATTGCTTCATGTCTACTGTTAATGTACATATCTTTATATGTTTTGGTTTGTATAATGGAGAACTGCAGCTGTTCACTGGATTTGTGTTGTTTTTTATAGTTCTATATCTGAAGGCTGTGGTCCCAATTGGACCTTTTTGTGTCTATATTAAGTAATGACGTCCAGAAGGCTAAAGGCCATCCAGATTCAGCTGGCCGGTGCTCCTTCCCTCCCCATTATATTGTTCCTACTCTTGATCCCATGAAAGGTGAATGAAAAGGTGCTAGGGGCTATAATTAGACTTTATTGGATTCAGCCAGAGGTTTAGAAATATCTAACCAGAGCAACAAAGAAATGGTTTAGATCAAAGCATAATCATGTGTTGGAATGGCCTCGATGTAAAAAGAATGTAAAAAGATGCACCAAAAAATGTGCGGCTAAAAGAGGTGGTATTATTGACTTGACTAAAATAAAAGCTTTTTTTAGATACGGCATTCATAGCTACACACTACCTTGTTTTGGTCTTTTACAGAAAAAGTCAATAAAATACATGAAGTTCTTGTGGTTCCAACTTGAAAATGTAAAAAAAATCAGAGCAAGGGACTGCTACTATAATTAATAAATATATGTCCCCACACAAAAGGATGAAACCTTAAAGACTGCTATCAAGACGATCATATCTAGTGCGTCTGGACTTTATAGTCAGAAACAATCAGAACCATTTCAGGTGTTAGTCCTTGCACCAAACGTGTCAAAACTCACTCTAAAACCCGGTGTGCCTTGTCCAGCTCACTAGAGCTACCCTTTAACTTTAAGATGCATCTCTTCTCCAACATACTGTACCTGATTCTAACAGCTGAATTCCCACAGCATGTCATTCAGCTCAACAGAGGCAGTCATTCATTAGATTCATGTGTTTTGGAGAAGAGAGCATATAAGTTGAAGGATGTTAGCTCTGAAGGACTGAACTTGGGCCACCTGCTCTTAGGGGAGTGTTGGCCTAGTGGTTAGAGCAGTGCGTTTATGTTCTGAGAAGGTTGCAAGTGCCCGGTTCCATACCCACAGCCTCCATTTTGGGTTCCTTAGCAAGACTCTTAACCCAACACTGCTCCCCAGGCGCTACACAGTGGCAGCCCACTGCTCTCCAAGGGGATGGGTTAAATGCAGAGGTAAATTTCTTCAGTCTGAGATTAATTAAGTTCAGTTATTAATAAAACAACCCATGTGGCTAATCTGAAAATTGCAGTATTTTATATGTGTTTACTTTGAGAGATTCATAAGAAATTCTTTCTTCCATTCTGTTAAAATATCTTTTTGAATTAAAAGAAAAGAAAAACAGCAATGAAGGAAACAGAAAGCAGCTGCTGGAAGCAGTTTGTGAAAGTCCTATTTGCAGCATCTGTCTCTGTTAAGCAGCCGTGCACGCATACAGCTGCAGTATTTCTGGGTGAAATGTCTTTTAAATGTTTCCATCACTTATCATTTTCTGAATGTATATAAAGCATGAGATCTTATGGCCTGCTTCTATTTATATTAGAGCATTAAATGAAGGGTTCATACTGTAGGTAGGTCGCCATGATTTACTGTCTTCAAGCTCATGCTCACTATTATCTATTTTTTTCTATCGACAAAGGAAATAGCTATATTTATTGCTGTTCTATGCCGTCGTGTTTTAAAGGCTCAGAAAAATCTTTTTACATGTAAGTTCTGATCCGTCTCGGTGTGTTTTTAGACTGGTGCAAGTAAGACGATGTTCTTTTGATGCTAAAACAGTGAGCTACATGTGTCACTGCCTTGTTCGGTCTCACCAAGGAAATGTTGTTTGTGAGCTTCTCATTTTTTTGGGAAATTCTCGAGGATAAAAATAAAAGTGTTTGTAAAGGTTGGCTGTGTCTTGACCTTACTGTGTGGAACTTTAAACCCTATTTATT